TCTCTCTAGATTTCTGTTAATAGTTCTCTTTAACGAAACTCAGCAGCACCAGACGATTTTCTTCAGCAGAGAGCAGAGAACGTAAACAGGACGAAGGAAGGCGGAACCTAACGACAAATAATGCCTACGAGGTCCAAAGTGGGTCCCACAATTTAAATGGCTCTGATTTTATTTTATTTTATTAAATAATGTTATGGCTATAACACATAGGCGTATATGTGTGATGAGTCATTAAATAGATAAATCATACAATGTTGTGAGTTATTAATAATTATTTTTAGTTGTTATATTTTTTAATTTAAATTTAATTAATTAGTTAAATTAATTCACATAGTTATGGCGTTGGTGACAAATTTAAGAATTTGTTTTTCTATATAATTAAAATGTGGGTAGTTGAATGGTAAATTTTTTTTTTTTTTATTAAAAGTAAGAACACTTTAGTTGAAATTGCATTATATGTGAGAAAGAGTTAAGGAATAAGAGGAAGTTTTTAACAATTTTACAATTTAAAATTATATATATATGAGAAAAATGTATAGCAATTTAGATTTATGAAAAAAAATAAAATTTTAATTTTAAATTATCTTGTTTTATTTAATTTTTTTAATTATATAATTAAAATTATTTATTTCATAGTATACTAAAATTAATATCAATATTTTACATTTTATATATAAATTTGTAACGAAAAGGATACTCTTAAAATATCTTTAAATAAAAATAAAAATTTAATGCTTAATTTTCTGATCATGTGGATTTTTCTATTAAATTAAATAATTAATAAAATTAATGTTAGTAGCTTTTTTTTTATTTAAATTAAGAGATTAAGAAAAATTAAGATACATTAACATTTAAAATATGAGAAATAATAATAAAAAAAATTAAAATATTTTTAATAATTAACATATAAAAAGTTATTGAAAATATTTAAATAATTTTAAAAAATCCCATATGTTAGGACGTTATAATTTTTTAAAAATTAATATTTAAAATGTACAATAAATTAAATACAACTTAAGCCTTAACCTTAACCTTAACCTGTCCGCTGAATTACTGGTGAAAGCGCGCCAGAAACCACCATGTTTAGACCTTCGTTGTATCCTTACGGTTAAGTGTTAATATCAAACCGGTATCATGTTCCCCTGGATCAGAAAATGAAGCCCAACCACAAGCTACGGCAGGCGGTAGACGCACTCTACTCTCGTGGGCCCGCAACCATTGAAGCATATACGCAGCTCGTGCTCACATGTGTCCGAGCCAACGATATCGAGCAAGCGAAGAGACTGCAATCCCACATGGACCTTTACTACTTTAGTTCAAATGATACATTCCTTTACAATCGTCTCCTTCATCTGTACGCAAAATCTGGGAAATTGTTGGATGCCCAAGAGCTGTTCGATAAAATGCCCAAAAGGGATGTTATGTCATGGAACGCTATGCTTTCAGCGTATGCTAAGTCGGGTTCTGTTGAGAATTTGAGAGC